AGTATCTCTACCATTATTGTAGGAATTTATTTATTTATTATTTTTTTTTTTTCCTTTGGCTTTGAATGATGTGATTTAATATCATATTTACTGCACAATGAAATAATTCATCACCATAATCTGCTTAACATGCTTTTCCAATTTAAAATTCTTTCAAGTTGCATTTGGCTGGAATCATTTCAAAATTAATAAAAAAATAATTAATTATTTTCGATTTTAAACTAATTTTGTTGATAAAATCATTTTATTACGACTTTCAATTAATTATTTTGGTGAACTTTTTTTAAATAATGTAATTTGGGCCGTTTTCTAGATACAACCCGTTTGTCATAAATTATTGGGCCTAAAATGAATGAAATTTGGATCCGATTTAATCAATATTCTTTTTTTTTTATTGGTAAATTACAGTCACTCCTGAGGTATGCAAAATTACGAATAAACCCCTCTTATTTTGGTAATTACAGCCACCTCTCTTTTAAATATTTTTACATAAAATTTATGTAATTCGGTAATTTATCGAACCAAATCGTATATTTAGTTCGGTAAACGGTATGAAATGTTGGCGCATCGAAATTTCGATTATATTTTACCGATTTAACATCCCTAAATTTACCTCTAAAGGAGTATTTTCGTAAGATAATATAACATAGTTAAGGGGGTGGCTGTAATTACCCAAACAGGAAGGGGGTTTTCGTAATTCAACTATAATTCAGGAGTGGCCGTAATTTGCCCTTTTTTTTGGCTAAGAAAACTAAGCTTTACTAATACAAATTAGAACCTTATTTACAAACATGTTCGTGAACTCAAATTTGAACCGGCAAAATTCGAGCGATTGAAGGCAAAGCTCATGCAAATACATAAGGCTTCGTTACGAGGATGGCCGTCGGTAGTCATTGAAGGAGATTGTCTTCAAGTCATTACAGAGTTTTATAATAGATTTCGATTCGTAACACTTGTTCTAAACAAACTTTTGAATCGCCGTTTTCGATTATGAATTTCACATTTCATAATCCCATTTTTTTTATATTTTTTAAAAAATTGTTTATGAATTTGAATTTCAGTCAAGCATTTGAAAACATTCCCCAAATTCTTTACTTGAATTGAAGTTCACCGATTTAAATATTTTTTATGTAGGGTAAAAAGGAGAAAAACAAATGACCCAAGATATGCTAATGGGATTGATAACTTTGTAAACAATTAAAGGAAAAATTTACCTAAAATTAAAAAGAGTGAACACTTAACTTTGTGTAAAATTGAAGTACTAAAGTTATGGTAAGTTAACTAAAGTGTGGCGGCCCTTTAGCTATAAAGCCATGCCCTACGCTCATATATTATATATTTTTTACGATAAAATAAATATTAAAAACTCTAGCAAGAACGAGTGAGCTGGTGAACAACTAAAATGGATTTGATTCGTTTTGGTAACGAGTCGACTCAGCTCACTTACAGATAACAATAATATTTTATATACACCTATAAGAACACCTTTGTTATATATTGCTATATGAAAACCCTTTCTTTTTTTAGTATCAAATTAATTGTCAATGGGAAGTTATAGGGGTGGTTTTATTTGCAATTGCCACATGTTAACTTGTGATTGGATGTTTAGATGATTACATTTTTGATAACTCAAATTCCGGCAAGTATATATTTACGACCCAAGAAGTGAATTTTCAATTGGAGTTCAATAAATTCTATTTTTAGTTTATATAAATGTTGGTTAAAAGTTTGAATACTCTATTGATAACCCCATTGGAGTTGTTCTAAGCTTATAAGATGTATAAAAGAGCTTATAAGCTCTTCCGCAGTGTTGGGTAAAAAATTAATTAAGATCTTACAAGTTAAAAAAAAAAGTTGCTCAAGAACATTTAAGATCTTTTACAATGAGTAAAAATAGCTTATAAGCTTATCCAAATAGTTTAAAAATTAATTCTAAAATAAGACGCTCTTAAAACAACTTATCAAGAAGCTTATCAAATATTTAAAATAAAAAAGAGCATGTCCCAATAATTATTAACTAGTATGTACCACATTCTCAACAAGTCAATTTCAAACTCTATTTCTTGTGCTAAGTTTAGTGGCAGCCACTAATCAAATTTCTTAAAAGTTATTACTAAAAATAATACTAACAATCAATAAATCATTTAATCAACTCCCATAAAAAAAAAAAAAAAAAAAAAAATAAATGTTGTGTGTGTAAAGTTGTCATCACTAATTGCAGCAGTTTAATTACAGTTCCACCAAATTAAGTTGAAGAAAGCAAAACGCCATAAGCCAACCCATTTTAAGTTCAATGAACAACTAAACACATTAAATACACCTCCTCTTTATATTTTCTCTAACTTCTCATATACTAATCAACTTTTGAATTTAAAAAAAATTAAAAATTTAAATATAACAACTATGAACAAAGTCAAAAAATCCTAGAAAGAGAAAGTATGTTATCTCCAAAAAAGGTACCTTGTTGACATGATCAAGCCATCTTCATATGCCGCACGTGCAATGTCACATATTCTTTTCCTCTATATCCACACAAGAACAACTTCTTCACAAGCCAAGAATCCCCATTTTTTACTCGAAAAACCCTAATCGAAAATCCGACCGAAATTAATTAAGAATTATCTTTGCCACACCATTCTAAATCCGGAATCCGATTCGACACCGAACCATCTCAAAGTCAAATCCCTCAACTTATTATCGCGCACCTCGCAAAACTTCTGAGCCCAACCGGTGGGCTCCACGGGAGCGAACCCTAATCCGGGTGTCCGGTCGTTCGAACGAGGGTTCAATTTCTCGGTCCAATCCAATACGTAAGCCGAGACGCGCCTCCTAAATTTAGCCTTGAACTCGGGCCAAGCTTGGTACTTGTAGTGGTTCACGACGATGTTGTTCGTGCCCAATTTCCTAGCCTTGTAGCCTTGCCTCAAGTAAAAATGGTGGATCACGTTGAGCAACGAGTGGTCGATTGCGTCTAGTAAGACGATCGATTTGTGTCGATTCTCGAATCTTCTTCGACAATTGTACCCTTGGAGTACCCCCATTTTCGGATGTACGGTTTGGTCCGAGGGGCCGAATTCGTGACAATTGATGCTGATTTGACCTAGTCTCGACGAATTTGTTAGGTGGATGAACGGGTGGAGCAGCGTTTTCGAGGGGGTCGAGTGGTTTTGCCAAGACGGTGAGTACACGAATTCGTCGACGTCGAGATACATCATCCACTTGCACGAGTGTTTGGCGTAGAGGGCGCTGTGCGAGAATCCGGCCTCTTGCGTTTTCGGCCACCGCCAGAAGTATGTGCTGACGTCATACCCTAGTTTGATGAGGTCAGCAACGGTGGAATCGAGGTTGTCATCGCTGCCGTTGTCGTAGAGGAGGAATTTTTCGACGCCGATCCGGGAGTGGTACACCACCCACTCCTTGAGGAACTTGGTGATATCGTACACCATGGTGGTGGCGCACAGTAGCGAGCTGTGGGGGGAGGGGGCTAACGTGCGCGGGGGCGTGTAGTACGCCACTGAGGGGACCACCTGATTTTCCGCGACGATCTGTAGCGAGACTTTCGCTGGGCGGGATGGTGACGGCGTTAGTGGGGGCCGTTTGCAGCGGAAAACCTCTTGCATGGAGGAGGTGACGGCGGTTTTGACGCCGTTAATCGCGTCCTCACCGAACACGCAGCGGAATTCCCGCGGCTCGCGGTTGATCCCTTGCCTCGCGTTGACGCCCTTGACGAACAGAACGACGTCGTCTTCCGTCGTTAGGGAATCGTACACCATGTGCGACCACCGTATCAGCGACGGCGAATCTCGCGCCGGGTGGTGATTCTCCGGCGGCGACTCCGACAGCACCGGCTGCTTGAACGGGAGCTTCCGGCGAGACCTCGGCGGAAGGAGGCAACTGAACGTCGCTCGATCGGGAAATGGCAGTACGCCGGCGAATTTCGCCGGCGTAGCCTCGTTCGTGTCGTACAAACAGGAGTAATTGCCGTCGAGATTCGAAGGGGCGGTTTCCGGCGAGACGATTACAAGTACCTCCCATTCGGGGAGGAGAACCGCGGTGGTGGATATTGCCGGCGGCGGCGGCGGCGGAGAGGGGGAGAGAGAAAGGAGGAGGACGGAGGTAGTATCGTGTGGGGGAACTGTAGCGTCTGTGAGGTTTTCGTGGATGGCATAATTGCCGGAGGAGGAGGCGGAAATGATGGCCGGAGATGGGCGGAGGTGGTCGGAGGAGAAGGTGGAGATGGCGTTGCGGAGGTGGTGGTGGTAGAGGGAGGCGCAGATGAGGACCGAAGCGACGACGTATAGGAAAGTTGTGCGGACTTTTCGGGCCATGAATGAATGAATTAGAGAGAGAGAGAGAGAGAGTGTAGAGAGAGAGAGAGAGAGAGAGAGAGAGAGAGGAGAGAGACTTTGAAAGGAAGAAAAAGAGTTGGGTTCCTTTTAATTTATATATATGGAATATATATTATTATTAATTAGTAATTAATAATTAAGGAAATCCAAATCAAAAGTCTTATTAGTACAGTGATTATTGCTTAATTACCCTATATAGAATTTTTAATTGAATTAGGGTTGAAGGGAAGTTAAAAAAAACACTAATGATTTTCTTTGAAGAAAAGATGGAAAAAGAACATGGAAGATTAGTATTTAGTAAGGCTGGAAATCGGACGAAATGGATTGAAATGGCTTTTTTCGGAAAAAAAATATTTTTTTTCGAAAGTGAAAAAATGGGTTCTGATTTCTGTTTCAAAACAATCGGAATTCAAAATTTCATTTCGATTTTGAAATCGAAGGAATTTTGGAAATTTTGGAAATTACATTAGTTTTCAGATGTAATGGAAATATTGTATTAGATATTTAGGAAACAGAAAGATAAAATGCTCATTTTAAACTAAAGAAATATTGGGACGATCCTAATTCAACTATACATTTTAATTCAACATATGGTCTTGTGGTTTAACATAGTTTACTTTATGTTGCTTTGAAGTTTGAACAAAATTTATGGATTAATATTCAATTGTACACGTGTATTTGTTTGATGCATATTTCACACGTGTGTTTCTATTTACGGCGAGTCAACATTCATTGTGTTTTCTTTAATGTAATATCATAAGTACACAATTCATTCTCCGTTAAGTGAAGGTCTAATGGTTGGAATAAGTGAGTTTGTATCAATTGTTTGAAATTCGAATCTCATTGCTAACAGTCATTAGTTCAAGTCTGTCAAACATAGTTAGTCTAATGTGATTTACGTTTTTCTCAATCTATACTCGAGAACATCTGTCGAACACCATATGGGTCATTTTGCAATTTCTAAAAAGTTCAAAACATATTTCAAATAGTGAATTTCCAAAATATATTTTAAATAGTGAATTTTCAAATTGATAGTTGATAATAATATTTCTTTTGAACGTATAGATGTATACAATAATAATTTATATAAAATAAAGACTATATAGCATATTCATAAATATACTATTATACTTTTAATATTTACATATTTTCCTAAATTCATGTATTCCTATTTTTTGGACACGTTGTTTTCCATGATCGTTTCTCTGTATTACTGTTTCGGTGTTCGTGTTACATAGATGCATGTACACAATTTTATTTTATCGGGTCCCACTCATCTACCTCTATCTAGTTAAAATGAAATAAATTAAGCTAATTTCATAAATATTTAGAGATAAATTATTTAATTTTGGTGGGTGTTAGAGCACAATCTAGTATACTACACAATCTCCAATTAATGAATAGCCAAATAAATGAAACTAATCAAGGTATAATTTGAAGCCTACGAACAACTCCCCACAATAATACGAGCTACAAACTATATCATCACGAGTATTAATATACTTATTAAAACAATTATTGACATTAAATTATTTGCATCATTGAATGTTGTCAGTCAATCATTCAATTTTCTATTTTCTTTATGTTGACCGTTTTTTTTATTATTATTTTAATTTCATTTCCATCAGTGTTTATTAAATTGAACGAGTCACTAAATTGGTCTCATTTCATTAAGGATAAATTACAATTTACGATTCAATTATTTACGATTTTTACGATTTAAGAAAATTTTAATTTATCATATTATTTAGGATAAATTACGAAAAAATAATTGAACTTAGGCTAAATAATGAAAAACACCCCACCTATTTGTAATTAGCAAAAACCCCTGAGGTTTGTTTATGTACACCAACCCCTTACAGTGTGATTTTTCACAGAATTCTTTTTTTTTATTCCTTGGAACAGACTTTACACAATTCGGATATTTTCATTTATTTCTCACCTATTTAACATAAGGTATAATAGATTGTACACATTCTCTGTTAAAAAACTCAAACACTAGTTAATCAAATTGAGGTTTTGGTTATTACAAATAGGTGGTGGTATTTTTCATTATTTAGCCGAAGTTCGAAGTTGTTTTTTTAACTTATCCTATTATTTATAATAAATTTCAATTGAACTAGAAATAGTTAATGTGATTATTACGTATTGTCAACAATTTATCCCCTAAAATACCATTAAATCAAATATATATATATATATATATATATATATATATATATATATATATATATATATATATATATATAT